TACACTGCTCCTCATAGCTCAGTACTAAGGATTGGACTGGCCGTCATTGTGTACTTGTTGATAGCTGGGATGAAAAGGAAAGAATTTTCTATTTAAAAAAATTTTCCAGATACATGTAAAAATTATAACAGTAGCAAATCTGATTATGTCTCTTGCAATGTTTATGTTACGGAGGAATTTGAAATGATTGTATTATCTTTAAACTTGTCACCACCTGGGAATAAATTAATAACTAAATACAATGAATCACTTAATGTACTGTACATTAGATCATGCATACAGGTATACAATATTGTCACACATGTAAGTGTATGTGAATTTTGAGTGTTGGGATGCTTACAAACAACATTATACCTTCATATGTCCCCATGGTATAGTTCTCATAAATGTTGTCAGTTAAGTTTTTCCTGCTCTTGCTGTCCCTCATTATCTACAGTATGCATGGTGTGTATCATGAGTTATTTTTAAAGGGTAACTCAACCCAAAAATTTTTTTTGCAGAAATAAGTTGGTAATAAAGAAAAAATCATAGGAAAAATAAGTAAAATTATAAAAAAGTACTGTTTCCATACTAAATCTTGGGTCAAAAGTTGCAATTTCTTGCCTTGCAGCCATTTTATCAAAATCACTTCCGGTTGTGGGCGTGGTCACGCGATGACGTACATGGGGGAAGATTAGCAAGTTTCTGCATTGAAATATTAGCAACTTCAAGGCTGGATATCTCAGCTATGCATGCAAGAAAGCAATTTTAATGAAGTGGACCATATAGGACTAATCTAAAGCTTACTACAAACATTAATACCCGGTTAAAAAATCAATATATTTGTAAAAAAATTAATTTGACAAATTTAAATTTTGACTGTATATACTAGCTCTGTTTAGCTCTTAATACTTGAAAAATACCTCTTAGCTGCTTTCTTCCACGCATAGCTGAGATATCCAGCCTTGAAGTTGCTAATATTTCAATGCAGAAACTTGCTAATCTTCCCCCATGTACGTCATCGCGTGACCACGCCCACAACCGGAAGTGATTTTGATAAAATGGCTGCAAGGCTAGAAATTGCAACTTTTGACCCAAGATTTAGTATGGAAACAGTACTTTTTGATAATTTTACTTATTTTTCCTATGATTTTTTCTTTATTACCAACTTATTTCTGCAAAAAAAATTTTTGGGTTGAGTTACCCTTTAAACCCAATTTTTGAGTAACTTAAAAAAATTAATTTCGATTGGAATCAGCTCAAACTATCTACAAAACATGCATGTAAGTGCATGCACATTGTACATGTACATGTATATGCATCAGAAAATGTAATAAAATGGAGAATCCTCTCCTAGTCAATTCTGGTCAATGACCCTGTACTACAGCACAGGACCTTGGCTCAATTTTGGAGCAACTTTAAAAACTAAAAAAATCCAATTTTGATTGGCATGAGCTCAAACTTTTTAAACAAGATAAGTACCATATTTCTTCAAATAAGAACCTAGGCACTTATTGCTTAACAGAGGAAAAATCACAACAAAAAATAACAAATGCCAAAACTTGGTTTCTAATTCACGACCTTGTGATATCAGGATGACAGATGAAGTTAGGCTATTTGGACCACTCTAAGCATACATGTAGTTGCACATAATACTGGGTAAATATGCATATTTATAGTTGTAATATATTAGTGATAGGCATTTATTTGAATAGGGCCCTTATTCAAGGAAATGCAAGTACATGTACACGTACATGTGTATCAAGAAAAATATTTAAATGACAAATT